ACCCACAGATCATGCAAGGATTCGCTGACCTCAGCTTCCCCCAAGTAGGGGGTGCTGTAGACAGGTGCCACTGCCTGATGGTGCCACCCTTGTCAACTGAAAAGACACCTGCTCTGTCGTCCTCCACAAAACACGTCCCACACAGATCATGGGGGAGGAGAGATGTACATGCAAGGGCGGTTTGTGTGGACAGACTGGATACCTGTAGCTGGTGGTCATGGAAGGGACATGGTCAACAGGATACATGGACAAATGTTACTCCAGGAGCCCCTCCCTCCCATCATGCCAGAAAGTAGTCTTATGCACACCTGCACACCTGCACAGAAAAGGCCACAAAAGCCTCTTTCATGCAAACTGCTGTGCATGCTGAGAGTAAGCGTACATGCAACAGATGCATTTATTGTCATAATAGAGGACAGTTGCTAGGGCGCACGCATAGGGTTACAATTAGGATTAGGGTTAGGGTTCTAATATTCAAGCACACCTGTGCCAGTGCATCCATACCTGGAAGCATAGGGCACTTTAAACTAAAGCCTGCATCGTAGGGCGCATGCTCTCAATCGCCAACTCAATTTCCTCCACATGTGTGGTGATACATTTATATGGCCATTTTCTGGTGGACTGGTGTTGCTGCATGCATACGCACATGCGAAGGTGCGCATCTTCACCAAAGGAGTGGGAAAAAGCGGCTCCTTTTTGAAGCGGCGTTTCTCAGCATATGATGGCTAGAGGGTGCTTTTCTGGCAATTTTTAGGCGTGCGTCATCTAAACGCCATTCCTACAAGTCATCCTCAAAGCACCTCTTTTTGCCCATCTGCATAGCCCCTAACTCTCAGAATTGCAGACTGAGTGGTTTCCTATCCTAAGAGTTGCTATGTGTTTGGTGATGTTGCAGTGGTTGCACTACAGCATCAGAGTAAGGTTCTGATGTATAAATTCAGAGACTAAAGTTGAGGGATTGCCCTTTTTCCAGTCTAGGAAAGGCAGGGTTGACCCTCTATCTGCTGATTGTTGATTGTTCCTTATTTGTGAACCAAACCAAATAGGGCATGGGATGTCTCCATGATTTCCTGAAGACAGGGATTTACAACAAGTAACTTCACTTTTTTATTGTTAATAACACACTTTTGGTTTCTTGGTGTGGGTTATTGATAGCACAGGTATTTATTTTTTATATGGATTGGGTGTGTGTGTGCAGAAAATAATAAGGTTACTTTCACTATACAACATTTTTCCAGTAGGCAAAATGGCCACTCAAACCTCAGAAATTGCCCACGCCTGTTTTGTGTGGATGCCATAAACTAATAGATACTTGAGTGCATGCATCTGGAAACTCATATTGTACATTGTGTTAAGCCTCTGTGATTAGTCTAAAAAACAGCCCCTGTTGTTGTCTTGTGCCTTCAAGTTGTTTCTGACTTATGCCGATCCCAAGGCAACCCTATCATGAGTTTTTCTTGACAGGTTTCTTCAGAGGGGGTTTGCCATTGCTATCCTCTGAGGCTGAGAGAGTGTGGCTTGCCCAAAGTCACACAGTGGGTTTTCCTGGCCAAGCCAGGATTCGAACCCTGGTTTCCAGAATCATAGTCCAATACTCAAACCACTAGACCATGCTGGCCTTTTAGTGACCATTTATCCAAAATAGTAAGCTATTGCTAGAAGCAGGAGGTCCCTATATATCTGTGATTGAGGCCAAGGTATTCACAATTTTGCTCTTTGCCTGCATTTTGGAAGGGCCTTAAGGACTTCCTTTCTTGGTTAGACTTATGGTTCTCCTTATAGAAGAAAACCTCTGGGTGCAGTTTTCTTGGTATGATCAAAAATGCCATTTCCATCTCTGGAACATTAACCTCCCCCTCATTGCTCCGCACTTAGTCTTTATTTTCCCAAATCATTCAAAATATCATTTGAATTGCTTTTATTCTATACCGATTTTCATTTTTGTTTCTGATATAGTAAAAAGATCACCAGTTAGAGCACTTTTCCAATTTCTAGAAAATAGTTGAGAAACCCATGCTGACTTTTAGCGATCACAGCATTCCTTTCTAAGTGCTTATAGACTGTTTCATGACCTGTTCTGGAATCTTTCCTGGTATTGATGTCAGGCTGACTGGAGGTAATTATTTGGGTCCCCTTCCACCCCTTTTTTTTTTTGAAGATGAGGACATTTGCTCTCCTCTGAAATTACTTGGCTTCCCCTTTATACTGTATAACAAACTCCAGTTGCTCTTCTTGCTGTTCTTTATTATTTCTGATAAGAGAGAGAGCGTCAAATTGATTCTGTAGTGCCAAAC